GTTTTCCCTTCCTCCCCCCCCCCCCCCAAGTTTACTTGTGCATTTATATACATTTATACTTACATCATCTACCTTCATCATCTCAGTATGTGACTCTACCATCCACCCTACTGCTCGAACCCAAAACCTCCAAATCACCCTATAGTCCTTTCCTTCTTTTGAGATCATCAGAAAAACCTATTAGTTAAGCCTCCAAATTACAGCTTTTTCTATCTTTACTGCTACCACCCTATACCAAGCTATCATTGTTAGCGCTTGCTTAGATTACTAGAGTGGTCAACTGGTGATCCTGATTTCACTCTTGCCCCGTACAGTCTGTTTTCCACTCTAAAGCCAGGATGATTTTTTAAAATATAAATTTGATTATGTCATTCTCTCCTCAAAGTCTTCCATGGTTTCCTATTGCATGGAGAATCAAATCCTTTCTTCTTACTGTGAGCCGCCAGGTACTGCATGATCCCTCTAACTTCCTCTTACACTCTTCTCCCCTAACCCATACACTGCAGCTGCATTCATCCTGCTTCTGTGCCTTTAGGATCTTCATTTTTCACTGTAGGGTTATCAGTCAGAGACCTACCCACTTGTCTGCATATAAGTCATTTCCTTTAGGATCACTCTTATTTCCCCAGAAAGAAATCTTCCATTCTCCTTTCTGATACAGGTGTCATGCTGTCAACATTTTGGAGTCAAATAGGTGAAGGTGACTAGGAGGAATCTTACCACTGGGGACATGAACCTATATTTAATCTCCACTCTTACTGGTGCCCCCTGGGTCACAACCTCACTGGCTCTACTTCAGAGTGCACACATCCAGTTTTTCTGGGGGTGGTAGTGGGATCAGTAGTACTCAATTTCTTTGCTAAGTGTACATACCATATACCAGATTGGGGCCTAACTTGCTGTGACTCAAGATAGTTATAACTTAGGTGTATGGGTAAAAATAGAACTTGGGAGTGAGATTGACATGACAGCTCTGTCCTTAGCAGTGAGATTCTGTTGCCGACAATCTAGTCTTTATCAGATACTTTATTTGGTCCTATAGATGTAAATGCAACTCTAATCCTTTTATCTCTATTTAGATTTTAGGGCAGCAAATTAATGACTTTACCCTCCCTGATGTGAACCTTATTGGGGAGCATTCTGATGCTGCAGAGCTCGGAAGGATGCTTCAGCTCATTTTAGGCTGTGCTGTGAATTGTGAACAGAAGCAAGGTAATTTATTTGAAGTATATGCATTTAAAATAATATTATAATATATAAAATATATATAAGTGTATTTAATATATAAATATATAACATATTTAATAGTATATTTTAAAGTGATACATATTGTATTTTTTATTTATAAATCACTACTACAAACTAACATCTTTTGAAGGCTATCCTCAAATAATGCCATTTTCTCTAATTTTGCTGTTAGAATACATTTGATTGTGATGATATTCTTCTTCTTACAAGACTTTGAGTAGATTATTTTTAACTATACCAAATGTGATGAAATTTACTCTTAATTGGATAAGGTCCAGCTAAATCATTTAATTAGCTAATCTATATATATAAAAAGCCAGTGACCTTAACGCCATCACAAACAGAAAGACCAGAGCTCGCCCAGGCTGGCCTTGCTCCCTAGTGAAGACCCCCATCCTGATGGGGGCGTGGCTGGCCTGCAAACTGCCGGCAACCCTCACCCAGGCCCAGGCTGGCCTCACCCCCCAGCGGGGACCCCCATCCCAATGGGGGCATGGTGGCTTGCAAACCACCTGAGGTCCCTTGCCAAGGTCAGCTCCACCCCCAGTGGGGATCCTCACCCCATGGGGGTGAGGCCGGGCTGGCCTGTAAACCGCCAGCCTCGCCAGCGGGGACCTCCCACCTGGATCCAGGGCCCACATCAGGGCAGGCCAGCCGGTCCCCACCCATGCACCAGGCCTCTATTCTTATATAATAAAAGGGTAATATGCAAATTGACCCTAAAGGCAGAACAACCAGAACGACCGCTGGACCAGTCACTGTTGAGGTGCACTGACCACCTCTTGGTTTCTTTTCACAGCCAGCAGGCTCTGATCGCCTGATGGCGAACAGGGAACGGGGGTGGGTGGCTGGGGATGCAGGCGGTGCCAGGCCAAGGCCCCCGCCCAGCCAGTCGCCCCACACACAGAGGGCAACCCATGGCAGGGGCGGGGC